TTTGAATTATTTTCAAAATAACACTTTGTACGCGTTCTTATAGAAACGAGAACCATTACAAAGACATTTTCAAAATACATTTAAAACCTACACCACAAGCACATTTTCAAACAAAAGCAAGTGATCTAGCAAGCAACTAAGAGCCCGTAGATAAATACGGATGAAAAGGATGCTAACACCTTCCCTTTTCATAACCTACCCCCCGAACTCAAGAAATAATCTCGAAAGGTCTTTCCCGTTCTTTTCAACCTTTCCTTTTGGATAAAAGAAAAGTCGGTGGCAACTCTTGCTATTTGCAACAATTGCGATTAAACACAAAACACCCAAGTCAGTTCTCCCACTGTATTATAGAACGGGCGACTCTACTGGGGATATTTTTTACTTAAAAGTGGGGTTACCTTAGGGCTAGATCACCTTTAATTGCTTTTCATTGTTTGACTTGTTTGCTTTATATTATGGTTCCTTGTTTGGATTTATTTTGATCCTCTACCCGGATCTGGGGCACCTTTTTAGGTAAGTAGCAATAAGTTGTGGAAACTGTGCGGGGTATACTGACATGGTCTAAGCAATAGCTACATTAGTGTGACATATTTATTGGTAATGGTAGCCCTTGAGTAATCAAGGAGAATACGGGGCCGTTGTGTGGTGTCATGAAGCACTAACTGACTTTAGAACCTTTACTTGAACAACTTGGCCATTAGGAAGTAGTGAGGTAGCCGGCTTTGGTGCAGTCCGAAGTTGGTTGATACTCGATACTACGCTCATTGAGATCGGACTTTCGGGATATTTTGGTCGCCAATAAAGAGGCTTGCGCTGAAACAACGCCCGATGAAGAAAGATTAGTGATATTGAGATTCCCTAGAACCCGTTTACTTTCTAGGACAGGTTGAACCAACTAAACTTCAAGAGGGTGCTTACCTATAAACTTCATACAAGCCTAAACCTAAGCATTTGTTTGATTTAACTTGTGCATATGCTTGTACATAACATCATTACATCATACCATATCATTTTAGACTAACCATTTCAAGGATTTTGAGATTCATCTTTGTTCTGTTTTGTAGGATATGACTCTCACTCGCAGGAACACAATCCAAGTCAACCTTGTACGAGTACCTTTTCATCTCAAAGAGTTAGCATCAAAGGTCCCTGAGAATTATCCGTTCACCAAAAGACATGGACGACTTCTCAACTTGGTTACCTCAAGCTTTGATGAAGATATTATGAAGGTGCTTTTCCAGTTCTTTGACCCTTTACACCATTGCTTTACCTTCCCCGATTACCAGCTTGTACCAACTATGGAAGAATTCTCTCAACTCTTGGGAATTCCTATTCTTGATCAACTACCTTTCAATGATACTAAAAGGGATCCAAACCCTGAAGAAGTTGCCTGAGCTTTATACTTGCAACAATCCGACGTCACGGCTAATTGGGAAATAAGAAGTGGTGTCAAAGGGTTCTTAGCCAAGTTCTTATTAGAAAGAGCTCAAGACTGTTGGAACAATCTGGATTTACAAGCTTTTGAAGAAATTTTGGCTCTCCTGATCTATGGGTTGATACTATTTCCAAATCCTGACCAACTTATAGATGTGAATGCTGCCAAAATCTTTTTATCTCACAATCCAATGCCTACTTTGTTGGGAGATATCTTGCATTCTCTCCACTCTCGCACCATGAAGAGAATAGGAACCCTCATGTGTTGTACTCCTCTGTTGGCTAGATGGTTTGCTTCGCATCTTCCCCGATCCATTATGAAGAATGAGTAAGGTTTGAGATGGTCCAATAGGCTAATGTCACTCAGAATTTCGGATATCCATTGGTGTTCTCGATCCTTGGAGGACATCATTATCATCGACCGTTGTGGGTAATTCCCTAATGTCCCTCTGCTTGGCATTAGAGGAGGTATCACTTATAACCCTTGCTTAGCTTTGCGACAGTTTGGGTACGCACAAAGAGATGGTCCATGTGATACGCTCATCCAAGGTGTGGTGTTCGGCTATGAAAGCGATGATCAAGGTTGTCATCAAAGTTTTATACGAGCTTGGTGGTAAACAAGGTGGACAGTAGGAAATTGGGACACAAAAATTCCATTCCCCTTGAGCCTTACCTTAGGTGGGTACGAGCTCGTGCTCAAAGTCTCGTAATGCCTTACCCCTCCATCCTCGTTGTTATCATAGAGCATGTTGTTGAAGGAGATGTCTTGTATACTGTCCTTCATCCCAACATTCCTACCTCTCTCGAAGACTTGCAAAAGGATTGGATTCAGCTAAAGGAAGAACGGGACACTTTCGAAGCCCAATTCTACGCCAGCGAGAAGAAAGTTCTGGAACTCACCAAGCAGCTTCATAAAGAGCGGAGTTTGAATGCCTACATTGCACCAAAGAGGATGCATTCAACCTTTTTGTCTTAGGAGTTTTGTATTTTATTTCTTTCATTGTAAGTCCAAAGAGGCATGATGTACTCGAACTTGGATTTATTAATACAACGTGTGTTCCTTTTTGTCTAACACAAATTTAAATCTCTAATTTCCTTGAAATCATTTGCATATGCATTTTCATTCATCATAACACAAACAAGTTTCTTACAGCAAGCCTCCTTATCTTTCTACTATTTATATCAATGAGATGGATATTGAACAGACAGTAAAGGATCTCCAAGCGCAGAAAGCTCAATTCCAACAAATGTTCTTGGCTCTGGCTAAAGGACAAGAGGACTTGAAGACTTTGATGATCAAAGAGAAGAAGAAGAAGAAATTGAAGAAACCAGTCGGTGTTTTGAATCTGGGAAGAAGGTTCGAAGGACCAGCCAAGCAAACTCTAGATTTCTCAACCTCGTCGGGTGAAGGAGATAATCAAGAAGGGAAGAACAGGGAAGGAAATGACCACCCAACGTCTGAAGAAGAGGAAGAAGCTGACTACTCTGAGGAACAGTATCCTCCTGTTGATGATAAATACAAACATCTAGAGGATCGTCTAAATGCTATAGAGATCCAGAGGGTACCCGGATTGGATTTTGAAGAGCTAGGACTTGTCTCAGGGGTTTTCATTCCTCAGAAATTCAAGGTCCCCACTTTCGCTAAATATGACGGTGTCTCTTGTCCGAAGCTGCATTTAAGGTCATACGTCAGGAAGATTTTACCCCATACTACTAATAGGAACCTATGTGTGTATTTATTCCAAGAAAGCTTGTCAGGGATGCAGTTGGATTGGTTCTATCAGTTGGAAGGGACCAATATTCGCAATTGGGAAGATTTGGCTGCCGATTTTTACAAGCAATACCAATATAATGCCGACCTAGCCCCAACTCGAACACAGTTGTAAGACATGTCTATGGGTGCTGGTGAAGGTTTCAAAATTTATGCTAAAAAATGGAGGGATATCGCGGGAAGAGTCCAGCCCCCTATATCTGACAGAGAGATGGTGGATATGTTCTTAGGCACTTTATCTGGTATGTTCTTCAACCATTTGATCAGAAGCTCTTCGGCTGGATTTAATGAACTAATCATGACTGGTGAACGGGTAGAAGCCGGTATAAAGAGTGGCAAAATTCAAAGAGATGTATCCTCGATCACGATGAAGAAACCCTTTACCATAAAGAAGGAGGTCAGTGTTGCATATGACCATAGGAATCAAAACAAAACTGAACGTCGCCCGACGGTAGGGGCTATTATGATTTCTAATCCTGTCGATGAGTTTTGTGATGATGTAATGAGGAAGTTGAGTATACAAGTGGTTGAGGCTTGACAATTTTGTAGAGAAAAATATCTAACAGTAAGGTTAAGATCATGAATGTGCATGTACTTAGCAAGATTTTCCAAGGGACTAAGTGAAGTACAATGGTTGTACTATAAATAAAACATCATACTTATTTGCATAACCTCTTATCATTCTCTCCCGGTCAGATTAAAGCCTCACCGCGATAAAGACTTGATCTAAATCACACCCAGAGACGAAAGTAAAAGTTGTGTCCAACGTCTCCAAAAAACTAGAACAAAAGACCAAAATAAATTTTAAAAAATAGAAACATCTATTACAAGCTGCAAATGGCAGAAAAGGATAAAATACCTTAGAGATCTTTTATGTAACTCAACCTCTAGGAACCTGATAATTTAGAGATCCTTTATATGCCTCAACCAGAAACTTAATACTTATGTGTCTCGCTTTATGTGTCTCAACTATTGAGAACCCTGCGATCCTCCACACATTATCAATGATCGAAATTTCTCTTTATGTGTCTCAACTATTGAGAACCCTGCGATCCTCCACACATTATCAATGATCGAAATTTCATCTAAGATTATGCAAAGAACTCAAGTGATGTCCTACCAAGGAGGCTCTTTGTCTCCGCAAACCACAACGGTACAAATATATATTTTTTGTTTTAAGTATATTATACCTAAAAAAAATGTAATTAGAACTTTGGATTACTTTTTAAATTAATTCACTAAATTTTTCAAAAATATGCAATAAATTAATGAATTTGCATTTGCGGACCAAATTACAATTATTTAAAAGTTTAGAAGCCTACCTAAAAATTATTTAAAAGTTTAGAAGCCTACCTAAAAATTATTTAAAAGTTAAAGACGTGATTAAAACATTTGTTTGAAGATCTAATTAAATATTTTTGACAAATTATGAGACTTGAATTTAGTTAAAGAATCTATTTTTATGAAATGAAAAAAAAAAATCAAGTAGATGGTCGCAACATCAACTTGAATTAACATGACATATGAGAATGCAGTCCGTAGCAAAGCAGCGTGTTACCAACCAAGACTAGAAGACAAGCTTCAACATTTGAAGAGTACACATAACATGACAAGTATCAATACCAAGAAACTGGCAAAACATAGACACAAGGAGTAAAATCATATCTTTAACACACCCTCCATGTCCAATATTTCCTATACAAATCCTGTTAGATATGACATAACCTAAGCAGAACATAAGAACAAGCAGCTCCATGAAAACCTTTTATCGATATAACTTATTCCCATAAAAGTTTCACAGCTGAAGTAGAGGTAATGCCATAACAACCCCAAAGATGGAGAAGAGTAATAACATCACCCATGTTGGAAATGCCTGTTTTCTGTTTCTCCTCATGTCCTTTAATCCCTCTACCCCTTTCGTGTCTTCTCCTGTGGAGTTTGAATTCCTTTCGGAAATAGAATTTGAACTTTTATCATGACGTGCGTCTGATGATACCCGCTGCTCAGAAGCAGTTTGCTCAGAAAGCTGCTTCTGTTCGTACTTCTCCACGTACTCGGGGAACATTTTCCTGAATGTAGCACTGCATGAAAACAACAGCAAGCAATTAATTATGGAACGCAAATCACAGAGATATTGCTCATTTGACTCATGAAGGGCTGTTGCAAAATACTTACTTCTTGCAATTGAAAGTGAGTGAAGATTTTGCTAGACGCTGCTTCTCGGCAGTAGTGGTGTTTACACTGCCGGTGGTTGGACTGGTGTCCATCTGCAAAAGTTAAGTCTGTTATATATCAAAAGCTCTAAAAATAACATAACACTGCATACATTATGAAGTATCACCGACTGCATAGTATTATGGCAGAATATGAAGAAACCATAACATACCATAAATGAAAGAAGCCCGGTAAGTATGCTGCATTCATAAAATGGAGCATCAGAATAAAACTATAATCAACAACTAGTGTTATTCACAGATACCATCCCTTAAGGAGAATAATACAACCAAATTTCAAAAGTAAAAGAAAAAAATAAAAACACAAGGGAGTAAACCACATAAAAGAACTGCAAAACGTGAACACTGACCTTGATGCAGACCACATTGGATTCCAACTTTCAGGATGAACTGCAATATCAGAAAAACTTACATGTATCATTATTGTGTAACTATGATACTGATTGATCTGTCTCCCGAGTTATTAACAAAAGTGATTTATCTCCCAATATATTAAAGAACTTACAATCACTCATTGATAAACAGATCTTTTTCTGTGTCATGAACCGCCCATTAGGTGTTGTCATGCTACATTATAGAAAGTATGAACTGGGTTATAGTAGACCAAATAAATGAAATTTAGAATGATCAAGCATATAACAGCAGTAAGGCACCTGATTCCAGGAGGTTTATATGGATATTCTGGAGGAAACTTGATTTTTCCATAGTAAAAACCACCTAAAAATGACCAAAAAATCATAAATACTATATTAACTGAGATAGTAATAAATTGGGTGCTGAGACACGCAAAACCAAACCAAGTTATGGCTGAAACAAAATGTCAAACTTCAATAATCATAATTTGTTAAACCTGAGAAAGGTGTTCCCTCACTTCCTTCCAATACGTAGTCTGAGACATAAACATTTAATAAGATCAGCATCAAGTTTCAACCACTCCCTACCAAATAAATTAGAATTAAGTTGCTGACAACACAATACAATGTTTTCCTTTCTTGCTGATAATATAGTAGTATTAAGGAAAGAGCACTTAGGAGCAAGAGTAAGTTTAATGTGTTGTGATCAGGTGGTCACAGATTCTACAACATTGATAAATAAATGCACCAAAGATTAATGTAAGTGTAAAACAAACTTACGCCACTCAAGAATATCACTTGGTGAAGGACGGGCCACAATATGGGAAACTGGCTCCTGCCAATACAAAAATAAAATTAAGTATTATCCAGTTGACATATTCTTTAACTACCATAATATAACCAATTGATACAGGCCCAAACAGTCCAACTGTGTAAAGTACACATTGTAAATTAATCAATCATGAAAAAAATATTCAGAAACTACGGTAGATACTTTACGCTGTTTTAAGAGGAGAAAGGCAAAATATAGAGGAACATAGGGTCCCTGTCATTTATGCTATAAATGTTTTATCAGCCACAACATCAAATTATCAACCTTAGATATTTGCACAAATACACACAGAGAGGAGGAGACAAACCAGTGATAACAGAATAAGCATAACTATATAGCTGTACAACAAAATAGTAAGCATTGGAACTGAAAATAAATATAAATAGTGAACCACAATGTTAGTATTAATAACAAAGGATTCTATACTTTACAAAGGGCTCTATACTCCTTCTGAAGACGCTTGATGCATGATTTATCCGCCATTCAACTAATTCCGAGCAGTATAGACAAGGACTGCGTTCTGTTTCTTTATTCTCAAAAGAAATTCCCTCCTGAACATTGATTAAGAGCATATACATCAATAAATTGAAATAGAATTAGGAATTTAGAATGTCATAAACAATAAGCAACATTACAAAACAAGTATCATAACAAGAAAAAAAAGGGGTGGGAGTAAACTATAGAAGGTGTATAGATGCGCATATATGCCCAATCATGTGCATAAACACAATGTAAACTGCTGTCATGTCATTTTAACCAAGGTCGAGCACAAATATCCAGTCATGGAAGTGCCAACTTTTATGAAATAAACAAGTCAAGCACAACGACAAGTCAGTATTTAACAAACATCAACAAGGACATAAAGGCAAAATAAAAATATTTATAATTGCCGACCACAAAGGCCAGCGTTGTTTAAATAATTACAAAATGTATAGGCACGCAGGCCACAAATCCAAACTGAAACAAAAGCGGGCATGTAGGCCCGAAAACATATCAGATCTCATCCTCCCCGTCACTATCTTCCACGGGACTATCATCGGGGGATAAAAGATTTTTTCATCAACCACCTGATTGAACAGCCCCGCACCTTCAACCACTAATTCGACCCCCGGGCTCAAGATCTTGAGCTACTCCACGGCTGTGTTAAAGCCATAGTCGAGGATATCCACGACATCTTGCTCGAGCACATGGATGCGCGAGATTAAATCTCCCCTGGTCGTGATGGCCTTCTCCGCCTCAGTCTCTTCGCCATCCAGTGCCACGATCCCCTCCAGCTCTTTTATTTTGGCGACCAGTCGCTCGTTCTCTTTAGTCGCAGCGTCCAGCTGAGGCCGCAGCTCGTTCAGAGATCCTTGAAGAGTTGAACTTGAGCCTCATACTTTGTTTCATAATTGAGGATGTCGCCCTTCAGCTTTTCATTTATGCCCTGCAGCTTCTGAATTTGGGCGTGCGTTTTGTCGAGGGCAGCCTAAGAGCCCGTAAGCCTTATCATTCAGCGTCAAAGTCGTTTCGAGCACCCTCATCACAGCGACCACGTCCTCCGACAAGTTTTTCCGTCGAGTTTCCTTGTCTTCGGACAAGATCGCTTCCCTTTCTTCCTCGTGAAGACCTAGAGAGCTCTCTCGGCTAAAGATATCACGGTTGAGATAACAGGGAGGCAACATGAAAACTCTCCTGGCACCCCTATCACTTCCGGGCGCAACCCGCTCAGTATCCTCCACACGCTTCCTTTTTGTCGGTGGCTTGGGAGGAGGAATCTGGGCCTTCGAGGAAGAAGGGGAGTCAGTCGCCCGGGTGGAAGATTTGGCCTATTTCTGAAGTTGAGCGACCGGGTCATTTAATTTTAGGAACTATGTGGCATGAAATCAGAGGCCGGGTCATTTAATTTAACTATCACTAACAACTAAAAGTCAGTCTCTTTTTATGAAAACAAAAACTAAAAGTCAATCTATTTAAACTGGCTATCTCATTGGTAAAAGGATTCATCAAGATAATTGGTTTGTTGCTCAAGATTCCAATAAACGTCAACATGATTGAGCTGGCACCAACAGGTCAACACAGATACTTATAAAAATAGACGCCACGTCAGTCAGAAGTCCAAACCAACATAACTGCATGCATGTCATTTTTCAGATATTTGAGTTTGTAAAATCTGAAGAGGCTTTTCCATGAAAACTAGTTTTCCAAATGTTATACGTAAGTAATAAGACCCTAATCAGGAACTAGAAATCCCATAAAGACTTCAAATAAATAACTAATTACCCTAAAATATTTAAGTAACCACAATTCAAATATCTACATAAACCTACACTAATAATAGTAATATCAATCAAATTTATCATGTCCATACAGTGTTATGCACCCCTCTAGGGTTGATGCTTCAAAATTTTACAATTCAGAACTAAATCACCATCAATTTCCCATTAACATATTCTTAGGAATAGAATTGTATCCATACTTCTCCAGAGACCAAACAAGTTTAAAAAAAGAAAACTTCTTATGTAAGATTCCTAAAACATCCATAAAACTCACCTAGGACAACTATCACTACAGACTACTCCTGTAAATCCAGTGAAACCACTAGGATACATACATACATCATAACCAAAAAATCTCAGCAATCCAAATTCTTCATCTCTTAAACTATACTTACCCATATAGATTACTCCCAAAATCTCATTGAGCAAAAAACCCTTCCCAGTCTAAACAAATATTTCATGTTCTTAATCACAACAACAATGCATTCCTACAAAATTAGGGTAAACAAAAAAACTGGGGGTGGAGAAAAGTAAATTTTTTTATAAAGGCCGAATAATTCCCACAACGAATCCCAAAATCAATAATCACCAATAAATCAAAAATTAAAAATTTACACAACCAAATAACAAAAATCAAACCTTGATCAAACAAAAATACCTAAAACGAAAAGATCCCAAAGGCGGGCTCAATTAATCGAATTCGATTTCGACACAGAACGATAAGAACAAGAAATTGATCGAAATTAACCTGAGATCCGATTTCGGGAGCTAAAAATTGGTGGCAAAATCGATTATTTTATTTCCGCGTGATTAATAATTTGCCCCTTTTTGGAAACAGAAAGAGCGAAAAGAAGTTCCAAAACGGCGGCGTTGAATATAGAGAGAGAGTAGAGTAAGTTTAAAACTGCGTTGGAGAAAAAATGATTATAGAACTTCGCTGTTATACACCGCCAAACAACACACTTTCCCAAACAAATCGTAACCTGATATTTTCTATCTGACTGTTTTAGCCCTGTTTGTAATCGCATGTTGGTTTTGCAAGTAAGGGTATGTTAGTAATTGTGGATGGTTGTAGTTTTGATTCATGTCGACGTGTTAATTTTGTCATCAAGTGTTTTGTTGGTTCCAATGTTTGATTTTTTGTTGGGAAAGTAGAAACTAATTTCTTCTTCATTTTCATTCATGGTTCAATTGTAAATTTGTTGGAAATCTATTATTTTATAAATACGAAAAAATATTGTTTATTTATTTGATAATTTTGCTATAAATTAATCTCATACATTATAATAATACATGAAAACATATTTCATTTTAAATATATTTTTATACTCATTTTGTGTTTGTATATGATTATTGTTTTAATCAATTTTAATATAATTAAATTAAGATTAGTGATCGAAACCATATAATGAAAAGAAAAAAATTTAAAGAATAAAAAAATGTAAAGAAATTTTTTTCTAAAAAGACAAATCATAAGAGTTTAAAAAAATGAAAATAGATAGTAGAGGAGCAAACTTGTTTATTAAGAAATATGAAAACAGTAAAAGTTGATTTAAACTTTAATTAAAATTAAAGTATGGATAGGATCAAATGACTTGCCAAAATTAAATTGACATCATCTTAATTTATATTAATCTAATAATTCATATTGAAATATATGATATATCTTATAATTTTAAAATATACACGGATCTTTCTTGAAAATTATTAAAATAATATTTAATATTTATTGATAGCTAAAAATTGAGACATATATGATATTTATCTAATATTTTTTGGTTTGTTATTGATATTTTTTGTTGGTATATATTTAAGATAAATCTATAAAGAATATCTATGTAATTTTAATAAATTTTAAATGAGTGTAACTTTCCCTTAATTAAAATCTTCACTAATAATTAATAAGGTAGTGTTATAAATTTTATTCTCTCTTTTTCATGAAAAAGCATATTACTCTAATATACAAAAACTAAAAAAAAAAAACATTATCAAAACATGATGAATATCATTCTTTTAAGAGAAATATTAAAAAAAAAATTCAAATAAAAATTAAATTAACTTATAAAAAAATACCTCAAAAAATTATCTAATTAAAATAAATTAAATTTTAAAACATATTCATATATATATATATATATATATATATATATATATATATATATATATATATATATATATATATATATATATATATATATATATATATATATATATATATATATATATATATATATATATATATATATATATATATATATATATATATATATATATATATATATATATATATATATATTATATATATATATATATATATATATATATATATATATATATATATATATATATATATATATATATATATATATATATATATATATATATATATATATATATAATATATATATATATATATATATATATATATATATATATATATATATATATATATATATATATATATATATATATATATATATATATATATATATATATATATATATATATATATATATATATATATATATATATATATATATATATATATATATATATATATATATATATATATATATATATATATATATATATATATATATATATATATATATATATATATATATATATATATATATATATATATATATATATATATATATATATATATATATATATATATATATATATATAATAGA